ATTGAGGAGGGCACATTCTGCATGGAGCACTGGGTGTTATGCACAAACAATGAATCATGGAACACTTCATCTAAAACTAATGATGTAATGTATGGAGATTAACATAAGAATTAAAAAAATTTAAAAAAAAAGAAAATATGTCCACTGCAGATATAATCTGGCAAACCATCCACACACATCCTAGATGAGTCACCTAAAAGAAAAAACGCTAAAATTCTTTTATTTACTTTTTTTTTTTTTAAGTAGGCTCTAAGCCCAAGGTGGGGCTTGAACTCACGATCCTGAGATCGAGAATTGCACACTCTACTGACTGAGCCAATCAGGTGCCTCAAGACCACTAAAATTCCTAATTCTCAATTCTGGCAAATGGAGGTTCCTAAACAAAACTCAAACCTGACTCTTCTCCTCTTCTTGCAGAGGACCAGGACACTGGAAAAAAGATCACTACCAACTTAAACACGCCCACATCTCTATCCCTGCAGCCAGACTTTCCAAATTCCTCCTCATTCCCAATGATGGAGCTCCAGGGAACCACAGGGGCCCTTCCCAGTCTTCTCTTGTAATCAGCTCGAAGAAACCACTCTCCACACTGGGAATGAATCTCTGTCCTTGTTGACACGTGTCCAACCCCCTGCTGTACAGCAGTCCCCACCTAGGAGGACTACAATATAAATAGTAGGGTTTCCTAACAAACCTCAATAGGTTCCTGTATCTGAACCCACTGCCTTTTGTCTAGGTCCTTTGAGATATACACCATTTTCTACTTAGTTCCTATGGCTCTATTCATTTAATTGGGCGGATATTTTTAAAACAAGTGTCTTTGTCCTAAAAAGGGGAAATAATTCTAGAATTTGATAACAGTAATCAACACAGCCAATCAAAGAAAATAAATGACCCTTCCAAATCTTTCATCTCTTCCATCTCTGACACACTATAGTAGAGTCTGGGGACACTGATCATTTGTCTTGGTTGGATCACCTACCATCCTCTTCCTGGGCAAAAACGTCAACTGATATTGGTAGAGTCCACAGTGTGACTCCCATCAAGGTTAAAATAGATCTCTCAAAGCATCTCCCCAAAATTAATCAATACCCTATAAATAAAGAAGCTCTTTAAGGCATCAAGCCCATAGTAGAAAATTATAAGCCTCAGAGGCCCATCATCCCATACACTAGTCCGTTTTTACCTTGGAGAAAACCCAATGGCTGAAGATGGAGGTTTGTCTAGAACCTCTGAGCAATATATACCATTGTTAACCCTTGGGACCCTGTTCTTCCTAACTCCCATATGCTACTGATTCAGTTCCTACTGTATGCAAATTCCAGGAGGAATACATGACTCCAGGTTTTTACCAATAGAATAAAAAAAATTTTCCCCAAGTCTGAAAATTGCCAATATTCAACTGGCTATTTTCAGACCTAGGGTCCTGGTTTAGAACCGTCATACAATTTGGATTTTCATGTTACCTTTGCTTTCATAGTTATTACCTGTCAAAACATTGTAAAAGTGATGTATCCAGCAAGGAGATAATCTCCAGTGCTTACCATCTTGATAAATAGGGACCAGAGATGAGAAGTGCCTGAGACTCCTTCCTTCTAATATTTCTTGTTACTCAAATATGGCCTTAACTGGTTTCCAACTGCTATGCACTTTCCCTAGGATGTGTGACATCACTACCAGGAAAGGTCTTTCCTGGCACCAAGAAATAAAACCACTAAACATGGAAAACTGACTCATAATCAATGACGCATTTGAGAAAAGATCTCTATCAAAAGTGGGAAATGTAAAAATTAATATAGGGAAACCTTGCTAAGAATGGAGTCAGGAGGGGCGACTGGGTGACTCATTCAGTTAAGCCTCCGACTCTTGATTTCAACTCAGGCCATGATCTCAGGATTGTAAGATCAAGACCTGAGTCAGACTCCACACTCAGCAGGGAGTCTGCCTGAGAATTCTCTCACCCTCTCCCTGTGCCCCTCCCCCTGTCCGTGCTCTCCCTCTCTAAAATAAATAAATCTTTAAAAGAAGAAGAATGACGGAGTCAGAAGACCAGCAGTGGAGCTTCCACACGCTACCACTCATGGTCAACTGCAGAAGCAACAGCAAGAGAAGGACCTTGCAGTTAAAGTGGATACCACTTTACTATGACAACACGAGGAAGATTATTTCCCCACATGGCAACAACCCAGCCAATGAGGGACAGTCACAACTCAGCCAATGGGAAGCAACGACACTTCCAAGCCCAGTTTGCTCTAATGGACTTTCTGTTTATAACAGCCCCTCTTCAAGGCCCAGTTTCCTCTGTGAAAGAGCCTCCTCTCCTCTGCTCTCCATCTTGCCTGTGGTCTCATGTGGCTGCTTTTCGGAGTTGTAATTCTCAAGCCCATTTTTGCTGGCAAATTTAATGACAGTTTTACTTTTAACTCATTTCAGTAAGCAAGATGGGGTATACTCATAAAACGGAATATTATTCGGCAATGAGCAGAATGAAGTACTGATCCAGGACACAGACCAATGAACCTGAGAACAGTCACAGGCTTCACAAAGACCACACATGGTATGATAAAAGAAGCAATCAATAGAGAGAACGATTAATAAATCATCTAGAAGCCAGGGCTGGAATGCACTAGAATGTGGAGTGACTACCAGTAGGATACAAATTTTCTTTATGGAATTACTAAAATACTTTAAAATGAGAATGTGAAGATGGTTGAATAATTCCGTCAATACAATATATGCCATCAAACTTTATATTTTAAACAGATAAAATTCACGGTATGTGATCCATACCTCAGTTAGAGCTATTTTAAAAAATAGTTATAGAGGGGCGCCTAGGTGGCTCAGTCGGTTAAGTGTCGAACTCTTGATTTGGCTCAGTCTTGATCTCAGGGCCATGGGATCAAGCCCCACATCTGACTCCGTGATCAGCAGAGTCTGCTTGAGATTCTGCCCTCTCCCGCCTCCCCTCCCCCTACTCACATATGCTCTCTCTCTAAAAAAAAAAAGTCATAAAAGCTAAAAATATATCCCCCTTAATCTTTCGGCAACTTTACTCAAAAACAATAGATTTTAGGCAAATAAGAAGTATGAAAAAGAAACTATGAAAAAGAAACAAAATTATAATTTCAGAGATTAAGCAGATTGAGAGATATTATAAACTAGCTGTGGGAAAAGTTTTTTTTAGATTTTTTTTTATTTATTTGAGAGAGAGAGAGAGAGAGAGTACGAGTGGGGGAGGAGCAGAGAGAGAGAGAGAGAAGCAGACTCCACGCTGAGTGCAGAGCCCAATCCCACAACCCTGAGATCACAACCTGAACTAAACCAAGAGTCATATGCTCAACCGACTGAGCCACGCAGGCGCCCCGATTTTTTTTTTTTT